AAAATCAATAAATGAATTAAACTTGGACAATTCAAAATGGGCCACTACCGGTGGAATAGATCCACAGCAATTTCTTCTTTATGACAACAAAAATAATAAGAATAGAATTTTAGTTTTTGCTTCACAGTTATGTTTAAAATCTTTATCATCATCAAAACATATATTTATGGATGGCACTTTTGCAACCTGTCCACGAGGTTTCTTTCAAGTATATGTTATTCATGCTCAAATAAGGGAAAAAAGTTTACCGATGGTGTACGTATTACTGCAAAAAAAAACAAAAGAAACCTATAAAGAAATGCTTTTGGTGTTAAAAAAATATTGTTCTTCGGTTAAAGTGATTTCGATTGATTTCGAACAAGCTGTGATAAAAGCAATTCAAGATGTATTTGAAAATGAAGTAGCAATCCAATTATGCTATTTTCACTTAAATCAATCAATTTGGAGAAAAGTGCAAGAATTAGGACTAGCCATAAAATATAAAGAAAATAAAAAATTCAGACAAGCTGTAAAATTAATTAGTGCTCTGGCATTCTTACCTGTGAATATGATTAAAAAAGGTAATAAAATATGAATTATTATATAATTATTTTTATTATTTATTATTACTTTTTATTTTAGGAATATCTATATTGTATGATACAATTAATTACAATGACGATGTAGACGACATATTAACTTATTTCGATGCAACGTACGTTAATGGAAGTTATAAAGCAACGAATACTGAATTTGAAACCATGTATCTCAAACGACAGCCACCGATTTTTCCACCACATTTATGGAGTGTATATAATGCATCAAAAAAAGGTGATGCCCGCACTAATAACATATCAGAAGCATTCAACAATAAATTCCAAAATATCGTCAGGATTAAACATCCAAGTATTTATATGTTTATTGAATGTATACAATTAGTTAATTCTACAACGATGATATCTTTGACAAAAAACGATGAAAATGTATTTTTGAATATTTTTTTAAATCCATTAAGTGATAGGAAAAAAAAAATTATATCTATTTGTAACAGTTTTAACATCAACTTTTCTAAAGATGAACTTTTGAATTATTTGTATTCCTTAAGTCTTGCTGTAAAATATCGATGAACGCTATCAAGGCTTTATTCTCACAAGGTATTATATACATTTTTATTTTTTTATTTGACCATATTAAGTATATTATATTTTATTCACTAAGCGTACCTATTATATTATTGAAAATCAGTTTTAAAAAATTTTATTAAAATAAATATTATAT